AATCATTAATTTCTGCTGTTTTTTTATGTTGAAATTATAACAGTAACGTTTCTCTGGAACCTTATTTGTGCATTTTCAACGTTTCGCAACATGTAAAAGCGGGTTGAATTCAGGGAACGGATGCTGAACTCGTCAGCGACATCGTTCACGGTGACTCCGTTACAGCCGAATACTACCTACGTTTTCCGGTTGGTTGCCGAAAATGAAGCGGGTATGGGGAAGTCAAGTACACGTATTCTTATTACGACGACAGAGGAAAAGGTTTCTTATTTTACGGGTCACTCTTTTTGGTAAGACGAAAAGGTATTTTGTATGGGTGCAGTTGGTTCTTAAGGTACCATCATGAGTTTATTAGTATCACAGGATGTATTTTTCCCGTTTGGAAAGTTCTCAGCACAATCATAACTTTTAAAATGAAACAAGGAGTTTGGAAATTTTTAGGCAGTTCCTGGTAAAGTGAAAAATCTGCACGGCACGGCTTTGAGTCCGGAAACTGTTGAAGTATCCTGGGAGCCACCAGGCGGGAATGGACCTGAGCCAGTACAGTACAAATTGTTCTATATCCGAAAGAATCATGAACCGAATGAAAAGGAAACGCAGATTGTGGTTTGTTTTTACCGTTGATTTGTTTCTTTTGAATGATTGAATACTCATTCAGCCAAGAACATGTCGACAGGTTTCATTATTCTTAGTGTTGAAAGAGAATTCATTAATGGGATCTTATTTTCAGATGAAAAAGACGTCTTATACTCTTCATGGCATGGAGAAATATGTCGAGTATATTATTCGAGTGGAAGCAGAAGGTGTAAATGGTGCTGGTCTAAGCTCTGAACCAATTACTGTAAGAACACTGTCGGATTTACCGTCACTGCCTCCTAGCGATGTTAGGTATATTATGTGTTACCTTCAAAGTATTGTCCACTTTTGATTCCAGGTGGTACATTTCCTAATAGTTCTGTTTTTATTTATGTGCTGTTTAATTATCCAGGTTGTCCATAAAAATCGTAAATGAACATTTGAACAGAGTTCTTACAACTTACCTTGCAGAGCTGAAGCAATTTCAACTACCTCTATCCTTGTACAGTGGACATCATTATCAGCAGAAGATAGGAATGGTATACTGACTGGATATCGAATAAAGTATAAAACAAGGTTGCGTGGTGCAAAAAGCAATACCTTAGTGGTTGATGGAAACAACAGTTCATACACTATGTCAGGTCTCGAACCTGGTACACAGTATATGCTTCGAGTTGCGGCTGTTAACCAGGTTTCTTACTGAATTTTGTAGATGAAACTTTCAAGTGAGAACAACAAAAATACTGTCACATTTTTCCGTTTGCAAAGTTTCTGAAGACTTTCCAAAATATCACTGAACATTAAAGTAATTGAATTAAAATTTCTGATCAGTAGTTCGGTAGGCAACGATTTATAACCGGTAAGAGAAAATTATTTTCATTTTAGTAAAGAAAACATTTTCTACCATGTTCCAAGATGGTTGCTATGATCTACCCGTAACATTTCAGAATGGATCTGGTCCAAATTCGGATTGGGTTCATGTTGATACACCGTTAGAAGACAAAGACGAAGGACAAGTGGCAGGGCCGCCACTCTCGTTGAAAGTTCAGCCATCTTTGGATTCAATTCAGCTTTCTTGGCTGCCACCTAGGGATGATAGTGTTATGATCCGTGGCTACCTAGTTAGTTTTTATGTATTGTATGCTGGATTATTGATATTTCAACGAGATTTGGCTTTGCGGTATTATTTGCTCAGTAAGTATGGAAAATCGAAGATTGGAAAATACCCTTTCAAATATAAATAGGTTGTAAAAGGTATAATTTTTTTGCAGCGTGTAAAAGGTATAGTTTGAATGAATTCACTCTGTAGCAGGCTGAAGAATCCGACAAATGCAAAATTTTCAGATTGGTTGGGGAATCAATATACCGGACGTGGACCAAGTGAAGGTGCCAGCAAATTTACGGTTTTATACGATTAATGGCTTGAGACCGGGCCGTGATTACGTGATTTCGTTGCGTGCGTACAATATGATAGGAAATGGTTTTCCAATCTATGAAACAGTTCGAACCCTTTCTCCGGATTCTAAATTCATCGCAAATGGACAACAAAATAGCAGAGATTCGGGGCGAAGTGAAACACCGATTGGTGTTAGGGCGTTGACACTTTCGTCATCGTCGATCCGAGTAGCGTGGACTGATGCTGAAATGGATATGCCTTATTCAAGGCAGTACACTGTACGGTATGGTTCCAGGTTTGTGACTTCAACATATTTTTCGAATCATTTTTAAGAGGCTTTTTTTTTCAAGCTTACCATTTCGAATACATTTATGAGCTGTAAACTAGCTTTTGTCACCCCACATCTATCTAACAGATTTTGGGGTCAATTTAAAGTTATAAGTCCTGAGAAATCGGTGCTTTATAAACGACTAAATGGATAAACGGTACTTGTTTAAGTAAAATTTGTTCCCATTTTACTATTCAGCTTGATAATAGCTTTTACTTTAGTATTGATAATGGTGGACAGCGACGTTATATCAATACATCTGAACTTGAAGTAATTGTTGATGGACTACGGCCCAATACTCAGTACGAATTTGCGGTGCGAGTGAATGCTGGAAAGTAAGAATTTCATAATATTTCAGAAAATTATAGTTGAAAATAGTTTTATTTCCCTCTAAATTCTTCCCTATTTCGGTTTTTGGTGTATTACTCGGGCGATTTTAATTAGTTACTGTTGCAGTCGTTTTGCCGAATAGAATCATTGTTTAATTCAAATAATGGTTCCTTCTGGTCTAAAGAAGTCGTTTCCGAAGATTATTTTAAAAGCTTTTAGTGACGTGATTACCAACTTCTGAAATTTAGTAGGTTGAACATACAAATAAACATATATTTCGTCGATATAATAATTCGATTATAATTTTAACTGTTAATAATAAAATTACTGGATATTGCCATTCTACCGACCAAAACATGCCTTCTCGATCATTTTGCTATCATTTTGCCACTAATATTTTCGTTTTTCAAGCAGCTAGGAATGTTTGCTCTTAGTCTTTTAAGACTCTGGCATAAATCTGAAATCATGTCCTACATTGGTATCACCTTTGGTCCAAATTCTTTTTAGTCGCATTTCATAAAAATGATTCTGAACTAGGTAATAAAATAGTTTTCAATCTTAAGAAGAATCATAATGTATCATCTATCACAGTATATCATCTACGGATTGTGATCAGAAACTTTCAGTAAAGTTAATAAATATCTCAATAAAATCTCCACTTTGTCTTAAAATTAGTCCAAAATTGCGTTGCTTGGGTGAACAGATGACGCAGTCGGTATCGGTGCTGTCTGGTAGTTTTGCAGTGCTAGTTCATTCCAAAAGTTATGTTATCCTTTGCCATAACAGTCATCAGAGAAGCCAGTGATGAATGTGTCATGCTAATCATGAAGGAAATTCGGTTATTTCCATTAACCATGTTGTAAAACAGCATAACTGAGGCTTCGTATTACGATGCAAAATGTAATATGAAAATGTTTGGAGTATGGTAGAGATTTTGTTGAAAAGAGAATTTTTTGAAGATCCTCATCCATGTGGTCCATGACTGCAGTAAATTCGACATATCCAGCACCACCGTCTAGTGCACCACGTGACCTGACTATCATGCAGCCAACTGATGGTGATCCACAAACACTGATACTGAATTGGCAGCCGCCTAAGTATGCTAATGGCGATATTGAGGGTATGGATTTAGGCATATTTTGGGAGACTGTTAAAAATATATTTGCTTGGCATTTTGCATTACAAATTTTAGTTTTTACTGGGCAATTTTTTTCTTTTTTGCTGTTAAATTTGTTTATATACTTATATGTTAAATGATCGAGTTGTTAGCAGTCTGCTTATTAACTGTTTATATTAGCCTCAAGCAGAATGTCGAAATGTTCTGGTTAGCAACTGGATTCTTGTCATAATATTTCAAGCGTTTTTCATAATTTAAATTTGTCTCAAAAATTTGGAAGTTAAGCTAGTTGTATCAGTCGCAAATTATGTGCTGTTGGAAGTCACATATCTTTTAGATGTTTTTAAGTTTAAAATTTTGGGAAATTTTGTTTGTTTCAGAGTATTTGGTGTATTATGCAGATCGATCGGATGCACCGGATAAGGACTGGGTTCTGGATGGTGTAAAAGGTGACCATTTATCAATCAAACTTACCAATTTGTTGCCACGACAGACATATTTCTTTAAAGTTCAAGCGCGTAATATCAAAGGATATGGTCCGTTGTCTCCAACATTACAATTTGTCCCTGGTGCACCATCACCGCGGATATTCCAGGTTTGTCCTGAAATTATTTTTTCTTAAATCTTTGAATTTATTTACGCAAATACTCATTTCAAGGTTGCAATAAATGTGGGAATTGTTACCCGACAATACTCGTAGACTAATTTTATTCTCAGAAACTTCTCTGTTTATCTGATTTACCTTTTTGTGATAGCTCTGAGTACAAGGATGGTTCCTGACTTAAAACTACTTTCTGGCAACTTTGCATTATTCATGTATTTTAAAAAAAATTTTCGGAAATTTTTATTTCAGAGTGTTGACATTGATTTGGAAAGCCCCGGCCTTTCGCTGTTTTCTACGCCAGTTTATCTGGCACTCATGGCAGCAATCATCGTTCTGTTGATGATGTTGTTGATCACTGTGATTTGGTATGTGAGATCAAAGAAAAGCAAGAAATCAACAGCATCAGGCTATATGCGTGGAAGAAAACAAACGAGAAATGGCAAAGGGCCGCCTGATTTATGGATTAATCATCACAACGGGGGAAACCAAATGCATGAGCCGGGTACTTTTTACGCTATTTTAAAAACTTAAGTCAATTTGTCTTTTGAAAAAGACATATTGCAAATGCAATCAAATTCTGATTAATTTTAAATGTTTAGTTTTGTTTTTTCAGCTACTTAACTGTCAGTAGTGTACGTTGCTTTATTCGTATGTGCTTTTTGCTTGCTGATTTTGTTCGCTGTTCCATTTGTAAGCAGGTTCGGCGGTAAAATTAAAGAGGGTTGGCATATGGAGCTTAAATAATGACAAATATTTTGATGTGATTGGGAGAAAATAACTTCTTGATTTTCACAATGGATTGAACATTACATCCAGTGATATACGTACTCTCTTTCCTGTAGTTGTAAACCTTGGCCAAAACATCTACTGCGTTGCATATTATCATCATTCAATGTAGTAGATCGAATTTCGTAGTTGCAATATTGAAGCAATGCCGCATGATAAAATCGCTTACAGTTTCTCCTACTTTTTGTTATTCGTTATGAATTAGAACTAATGCGAGTATCTGTTGTGTGTAATCTTCCATTGTATATATGACAATATTTGCATCATCCTATTCTGATGCATTATTAAGTCATTGGAGTCATAAAATCACGTCAGTTTTTAAGTTTCTGACTCTATAATTACCAACTGATTGGCTAAGATCAATAGATCCTTCATCCCGGACATTTTAAAATCCGCATGTTCTTAACTGGAACCGGAATGTGCATCATTATAGAGGATCTGATTGAAGACGCTCTTGCAACATCGTCAAACGATTTAAATCACTGCGGTGATGTAATTGAAATGGTCGATTCGCCACGATCTCAATATCTTACTGTCCAAGGTGCTTCTTAGCTTTTGTATTGCATAGTTCGATTTTTTTTTTCCATGTTCGTATTTTCGTCAAATTTCATTTTGTTTTCAACCTTCATTCTTTGTTGCCGCAGAATTTTTTCTTTTTCTTATTTTAAATTGTGTACCAGCGTACACTTTTTGACTTCATTTTGCTTTACACATATTTTCACAACGTATTTCACACATGTATTCAGAGTTTTTTAATCCCTCAGTTAATATGATCGAATGGCAATCCCATTTTAGGTAACATGTTAGCGAATGGTGTGTTAACTGATGGGATTTTTTGAGCTTTGTTAACTAATTTACAATTCCGTTTTAGTTTTTACATGGTTTTACCTTTTCTAGCTCTTTGTTACCGAGATAACTGAAGTAGCAACTTGGGGTGACATGTCGATTGAATTTAATATTCCAGTTTTTTGCATTTCATGTGTTATTTTATATGTGCACACAGAATGTTAAGCACTTGTAGCATGCTTCAATTTCACTACAAGTTAGGAAGGCTAGTGTTTTAGCATGTTATGATTTGATCATAGGATAAAAGCACATATAATGTCAACATAGCATTATGATGTTTTTCAGTGTAGTTGTGATGTCTTTTTTTAGTGCGATGTGATGTTATTCAATCTGCTTGCATGCAAACCACATCTGCAAAACTCTGTAATGCAAGTGATACAGAACCCCATAACTTGTATTTCTCAATGTGTCGTACACTTTTCACGATGAACCATCCGAGGAAGGTCACCGAATTTCAGCTCACTTCACCGATCCCGAATATATTGAAGCGAGGATGACTCAGTCGGCTCATGATGGTATCATTCAGCGACGGCGGCCTGTGGGAAAAGCAGAATTAATCTCCACTCATGCCGTTATGTCACAGAATCCACTGCCCGGTATTGTAATTGGTAATTGTAAGTGTGGTCGTATTGGTAATAGTGCTACTGCATCAACTTCGCCTTAATGTGCGATTCGTTGCTTTGCGGGAGGGTATTTTGACACTGCTTGCTGCAAGTTCCTAAAAATGGTCATCTCCTTTCATATCTCTCTCCATTTCAATTCTTTCATTAGATGTTTTTGAAAATTTGTGCCATGAAACACTTGCAAATTTCACTTGAGTGGTACTACAATCTCTCTCTATTTTTAATACCTGAGATACTCATGATGAGATCTTATGGAACGAACTGAATTGTGATTGCAAGTTGGGAAGACTGTCAGCTATTCATAGCATTTTTTGTTAAATTCCAAAGATCCATTCTATGAGTAATTAGCTAGGCTCTCGTGCAACCCTGCTATATTGTTTAAGGGTATTTAAAGATTTAACGCATGGTACTTGTTTTGTTCAGTACTTGTTTTGTATGGATAGTGCAGGTATTCAAAAATGCCTAGAAATTATAGCACTAATTCTCTTTCCACTCCTATTTCTAATCACTTCTCATGAGTACATGGGTACACTGCACTTTTTCTTGAGCAAAATGAATTTTGATAGTTCATAGCTCCCGGTTAAAATTTTCATATTTCTTCCTAATACTTCAGTAAGCGCTAAACTCAGGTAATGGTACTTTAACACGAAGTTATCATCAGTCGTCGACCAGTCTTGAAGGACGACAAAGAACTCCTCAAATTGTTTACACAAATACAGGCCGACATCAGGTGTTATTTTTTGTTTCGAGAGAATGTATAGTTCTGGATTTTTTTCTTACATTTTAATTTGTTCGTTATTTCATGAAGAAAAGGATATTTGAAGCAGACGGAAGTCAGTAATAAGATTATTCTTGCTTAGAAAATCATGCAGAAAGATATCGCAAAATTGAATAGTTCGTGGAATCTGCTCTGCGCACTTTTGAAGTGAACTAAAGTCAAGTTGATATAAACCAATATAAGTCATGAAGATAAGATTAAGATCACGCTATCCTATTGCCAAATTGGATATTCCATGAAGTTTGCACACATTGTATTGTGCAAGGCTGGTTCATGCGGTATAATTAAACCAGTTATATAGTAGCATCATTCAATGTGAATTCAGTTGAGAATTCACAAATATTAATTTAGGCTCGAAAATAAAAAATGTTGAAAATTTATTTTCTTCAGGTAGCTAAAATCGATTTTTCTGACCATAGCTCGACGTATAGTTCGTCTCAGGCACTTCACTTATCAACCCCACCTCCACCTCAGTTACCCAACCAAGGGCCGCCCGTTGCTCCACCCTCGCAATTGCTCAGCAGCGATGGTTATCGGACCTTACGCAGAAATTCTGTCAGTTCAAATCCATTGAAATCATTTACACAACTTGCTGGAGCACCACCACCAATCACTCCTTCATCAGGTGTGTTTTGTTTGGAGAAGAAAGAGGACTAAACTGATTGGATGTTAATTATTTGGTTTATTTGTTGCGACAGCACCATATTTCCCTCAGATCTTAACTAATTACTGCTGCTCCATACCTGATATTTCGGCCTTTCTCTAATTTAACTAAACATCAGAATTGCCATCAATAGATATATTCAGGTGAACGAATGGCACATGTCGTTAGACCTCTAGTAGTTGCATCACCAAGTACTAGAAATGGAAAGCCTGCTGGTGTTGTTATTGGTCAAAAATCATCTCATGTTCCTGTGGGACGTGCAGCTGCACAGCCGCGCGTTAATGTTAATAATATTTATGCACCGTATGCATCGTGTACGATACCTGAGAAAGCTACATTGCAACGTGAAAATGTTATTGAAGCGCAACCATTGCAGGTTCTTCCTTTATTTGTTTTCAACAGTCGGTCAAATTTTGAGTTACTGACTTTATTTCCTTATAATCGAGGTTTGTTTGATTCCCTTGTTTTTAAAATGCAATAATAATGCTTCCAAAAGATTTCGATTCCGTCGATTAGTGAGGCCTTAGGATGCTTAAATTTAGAATCATTGTATTTTGCTAGCATTTCTAAATTTCAGGCTTCAGCTTCCACAGAGGAACTGAATGCCCAGATGGAAAATCTGGATACAATGATAGATGATCTACAAGCGCTTCAACATGAATTCAGCGCTGCAACATAACTATGTGCTGTCAGATTGGTTATGATATAAAAGCTGTCTTCACTCTTCCAGTAATTTCTCGAAAATTCCTCAGCAAGCTGGTCGATAACGATCTCAGTTCTCGGTGTGTTTTATTAAATGGATATATGTTAATTCGGATGTACAGCAACATTTGATGATGGTGACACTTTATTAACTTTTTTCATGATCCATTTTTCTTTGTGGTGGATTACTGAAATAGTTTTGAGCATCGACAAATTGATTTAATGCAGTTAAAGAAATAATGGATGATAGGATGATTATTAGAACTATAATCAAGTTAGTGTAGTTTTACTTGGAGCTCCTTGTCATTCTTATAAAAGTTTTGCCATCATCATCTTTCTTCGTAACGCCTTTTTATTGCAGATAAATTTTTACTGTAGCAGTCACCTAAAAATTATCGAATTCTCGTTGATCCTTCTCGATGATGTATTCAAATAATGATATAAAATTGCGTCTTGTTATTTTGTTTTTTGTTTTTTTTTTTGTTTTATTTCTATTAGGATTCATTAAAATATGAACTGCTTCTTCTGATACACGTAAATAATCTTGTTGTTGAAATTTGTTATTACTAAGATTGTTAAATTGGATTGAAATATCATCAGGATATGTAGCTAACTAGCTTCATTTTTCTTCTGGATTTTGAATTAGGAACAATTTCGTGCGTTCTGTAAATTTATAAATCCAAAGTCTCTAGCAAATCTAAGTGTAAATTCGAATCTGAGAATGATAGAAATAAGAAATAGCTATGTGTGTGGGGAGTATCCATATCAGTTCCTTATTCTATTCTTTTTGCATTTGGTTGAAACTCTTATGACAAGTTTTGTTACTTGGTTTGCATTAAGATCAAGGACAATATTAGTTCTTAGTTTCAAAATATTAGTTTCAATATTAGTTTCAGTATTGGAACAATATTAATACAATATTAGTATTTAGTAGTTAAAGCTTAAAGGTAGTAAAGATTCACTCAATACCATATTTCCCAACTATTATAGGAAATAAGGGGATAAAGAGGAATAAGCTGAACTTTTGCGATCTCTTGTCTAGATTTGAGCACGTTGAAAAGTTGCATTTCATTTTATTCTGTTGTTCTTTCCTTTAAGTAATGTACTTTGCACCCTTATGTACCTGACTGATTTTGGCTAAGTCTCGTTTAAGTTTATTAAATGGCCAACAAATCAGATTATGTTGCCTTACTTGGTTAAATGCTTTCAGTTTTCCGAATTGTTCATATTTCGACTTTTCAATTACATCTTCATTTAAAATATCAAAAAATTTCGATATATAAAAAAAACCTTCAGAGCACGTCTCTTCCTAGCTGTTACATAGCGTTTTCCCCATGCATTTGGAAATTGCTTGCCTCACATAGGTAATTTGCAGTTCATAGTTTGTGATTTGTACAGTTGATTCGCATATATTATTCATTCATTACAATTAACATTAAAAAAGCATACATGTAGAAAGTGTAAAAAATTGTTCGAGAAATTGAGCTATTAATTTGATATTTGTTAACATGGTGTTGAAGTTTCAAACTTATTACATATACTTCATGTGTAAGACGTTAGTTTAACGTGTGAATTTCTCAACATTAGTTTACTTTTCTTCTGTTAGATGTAAACAAATTCAATAGATTTGTAGACCATAGAAATATTTATGAAGTTCAGTGAGGTAATTTCACAGTTTGGAGATGCTTTATCAAGAAAAAAAAATTTTAATTTGATGAGAATTACAACTGTCCTATAATTTGTGCTTTCTTGTTTTTTTTTTCTCTCTCTTCTTTCATTGATGCAAATAAACATTTCTCTTTTATATTGTTGATGATCTTACGTTATTGTGAAAATTTGTATGCATCTACTACCGCTGTTTTCTTTATGAGAATTAAATGGGTTTTTTCCAGTCTTACTTATTTCTCACTTGTATTTCCTTTTAAAAAAAAAAAAAGCGAAGAGGGAATAAAGACTCAATACTGATAATGTTTCAACTCTTAGCAGTAATCAGTGCAGATTTTAATTGGAAGGATATATAGAAGCGGTTGATTCATTTCAAATCAATTGTTTCTTATACCGTACACATTTGCTATGTTGCATTTTCCTTTAACACTTTTATTTGATGTTTTGTTTATTGGTGATGTTCATGCGCATACATGGCAATGCTACGATTTGTTAAAGCAATGCACCAATGGTAGTAATGATTTTCTGGATATCAGTAGGATTAACTCTAGTAATATCAATCATTTCTGTGAAAGCTATACACAGTCAATTATTCCTTGTTTAACAAACGGAGTAAGTTATGCAAATTTTTTATTTACTAATTCTCATCGAATTTTCAAAATCGTTTTATGCTATCCTTGATAGGATGATTTTGAAATATCCATCTGGTGATACCAATATTTATGCTAACCGATGTCCGAAGCAGAACTGTTTAAAGAATATTTGTATCATGTAATCAAATGTGACGTCTTTTTCCATCCTTTTGTTTATTTTTACGTTTATTTGTTTGTTGCGATAAAATACCAAATGAAAGAAAAAAAAAGGAAAAAAAAGTGTACCTAATTTTGGGTGTTAGACATACACATATCATTATGCCATTCATTTTTCCAGATGAAGGAGAAGGCGGGTGCTACCTATCATGAAAGATTTCTAATTCTTCATAAATGTATCAAAAATGATCAGTCAAAACAGAGTAGTCCGGTATGAGATTAAAATTAAAGGAAGTGTTGTTAAATTTTTTCGTATTTCAAAATGGTTACGGGGAAATGTTTTTAGGAAATTACGATGAATACAGTTAAAATTCTACGTTTATATCTGTATAGCTGCGTTTATAATAGCATGGCAGATATGCTGCAGAGCAGTTGCTTTAAGTAATAAACTTATATTTTCAAATTTCATTTTTTTTCAACAACCTTAAATGACTTTTACCAATAATATTAACTGCAAACTTCGGACTAATTACACCAAAGATGTGTGGAAATTTTGAATTATTGACATAAATTAAATTGCATTGATATTAGGCAGATTATTTATAATATTAAATCTCCAGTAAATTGGTCCAGAATTGTGTGGAAAAAATTCCAACAACTCGTAAATGTTACTACTGGTCTTGTAAAAGTCAAAAGTTTCTAACGCTTAAAAGATCCAATTTGGCCCTTTCGAAAGAAGATGAAGAAGATAAAGACGATGAAAATTTCAATGAAGCCAGTAAGGAAATGGGAAAATTGAATCCGAGAATTAAATTAGAGAATAGTGTTCTGTCTTGGGTAGTTTGCTACTAATTAACGCAATTAAATTTAATTATACTAACCATTTTTACATCCCTCTATGTTTTATTCTGTCTGAGAAGACGATTGAAGGGATAATAATGATTGGAGTCATATTTGCAGCTGTTAATAGAAAGTGGAAAAGTCGCAAAGTTGAGATTACTAGTAATCCTGTCGTCCTGAATGGAAACTGCCAAATAACGAAACGGAAATTAGCCGTTTATTTAGTCGCATATTTTGTTTCTATCTATTATTTCTTCCCAACATATCCATTTGCAAATGAATCAATGAAATAAATATCAATCCTTGAATAAAACATTATTAATTGATTGCTTCATTTAATTCATTCATTTCTCCTTGTTAAATAAATTACACATAACTTATACGGTTTCAACTCTTTCAAATTTCAAATTTAACAAAACTATTGGAGACAGATGCTTGATAAATTCGAACATAATTGTCAGCAAAATGATAAGAAGAAAAACATGTCAAAAGTGTGCAGGAAGTGATAACATTGATAAGTAATCACAGTCAATAAGCAGCTTTCATTAATTTATGCTACTGTAATAAAAAAAAAAAGGAATTTTTCTGAAATTCTTCCAACGAAATAAGCCAAATAAATACAAAGAGATAAAAACGTTTGTTCATTTCAGGTAAATTATCCCATCATTTCATGTATTAATTGAAGCAAAATTTTTTTTCGTGTATGGCTGAAAGTTTTTGGCCGAAAAAAAGGTAAGAGGAAATTTTTGTTAATAATTAGCCAAGAAGAAGCGAAGGAATTCTATTCACTGAAGTGAATTGAAATATAAGTGAATTTCACTGCAAGGTAAAACTGCTGATATTTTTCAAACAGTTTCATCATTTCACATATTTGCATATTTAAACGAACAAATAATGAAGCCTTATATGCAAATGTGGAAAATTGTTAGCAACACTATAAAAATGTTAATTACATTCAGTTTGATCTTTGAGAACTGTCATTTTCTGTATATCAACTAATTAACTAACTGATGACAATTATTTTACAAACATTTCTTTTGTCGTTTATTATACCGGTCATCTTTTCTTTCAAGTCTGATGATAAAAAGTGCTATGATAATCTAACAGAATGCGCACAAATGGCTAATGCTCTTGTCTCATTAAATGTAAAGCACATAAATGCAAGCATAATGGATGAATTCTGTTTCAATCATACACATATCATTATTCCATGCTTAGCTAACAAAGTAAACTTATTTCTGTTTTAAAATCTTTATTATTTTCCCGAATTATATTATGAATATGATTAAAGTTCCATTTATAGGATTGCCTTATACAGTATAGCAAATAATTGCTCTTAATTTGATCAATATCATTTTTCAGGCTTATTTCTCAATTTCTATGAGATATCGCAATATTCTGGCTCATGTATCCTGTTAGTAGGACATTTTGATTGACTGCTAGTCATTTTTGAACAAATTTAATTAAAACTTAGATTTGAGTCAAAATTGATTGGTATCAAAAACTATTTATTATATATATATATATATATATATATATATATATATATATATATATATATATATATATATATAT